ATATTTGACTTGACAAGCCATTTGAACAACCCACACAGCAGGCACCGCAAAAGGATTAAAGAGCTGGTAAGTATGGCTCAGGCTATAGGTCTTTGGTCATAAATTCCGGTTGATGGCTATCTTCTAAATCAGTGTTTTTCAAACTTGGGCACTTTAAGAAGCATGGACTTCAAATCCCAGAATTCCCCAGCCAACATGGCTGGCTGGGGAGTTCTGGGAGTTGAAGTCCACGCATCTTAAAGTGCCCAAGTTTGAAAAACACTGTTCTAAATAAAAGGTCTCAACGGATCAGAATGATAGTCAGAAGAGGTTGTAGGTAGGGGTCCCCCAATCTTTTTCTTTTTTAAATAATTTCTATTAAAGAAGTTTTCAACAGAATAAAAACAGTACACATTTTGAATTGAAGGGCACAAGAGAAAAGTAATAAGAAAGTGGAAAAGAAAAAACGAAAAAGAAAAGAAAAAAGTAATAAAAAAATGGCTTCCAATCATCCTAACAACAGTTAAAAGTCCTGTACATTTATATTTTACCCTTTCTAAGGCTACATCATAATTTCCTTCTTTCCATAATTTCCCTTTCTAATCTTCAATAAAAATCACCAGTTCATTTTTTTCCCCTTTTTTTAGCAAAACGTCCATCAGGGGTTTCTAGTCACTTATAAATGTAGTTGTTGATCTTTCTCTAATCAAACAAGTTAATTTTGCCACCTCTGCTAGTTTTACCATCTTAACCAACCATTCCTCTGTTCTGAGTATTTCAGAGTCTTTCCATTTTTGCACATGTAGTAGTCTCGCAGTGGAGATCATATATAAAAATAGTCTTCCATGGCTCTTTTCTAATTGTCTGTCCATTAGTCCCAGCAAAAAAATTCTTTTTTTCAGTTGAATATTAGTCTTTAAAATTCTTTGTATCGTTGTATGTATTTGAACCCAAAATTTTCTGGCTTTTTTATAAGTCTACCAAGCATGATAAAATGACCCTTTATATTGTCCACATTTCCAACATAAATTTGAAGTACCTTTATACATTCTAGATAATTTTTCCGGAGTCATACACCAGTGGTACATCATTTTATAAAAATTCTCTTATAAAATTATAAATAAATAAAATTATAACATAGTGTGAATTTCAACCCTTTCAGTCACATGTTTTCCCACTGTTCCAACAATATGTTGTAACTAAAGTTCTTAACCCATTTTGTCATGCGCTCTTTCACTTGTTCTTCCTCCATTTCAAGTTTCGGCAAGAGTTTATACATTTTAGCAATTACATGTTCATCATTTGTACATGATTCAGCTTCAAATTTTGTCTTCTGCTCAATTCCAAATGTCCTATTGTCTACTTTAAACCTTTCTCTCAACTGTGCATATGAAAACCATTGAAATCTAAATCTGTCTGCAGCCAGCTGCTCTCTTGGTTTCATCTTATATTCTCCATGTTCCTGTTCTAACAACTCTCAATAGGGTAACCCAGTCTTTACTTGGTTTAGTAGGTGGCGTTCGGTTATGCTGAACTGTGGGGAGGAGAGGAGTCCTGAAGTTAAAATGTGTTGTTGTTCCTATTCTTTTGATCATCTACCTCAAGCAATTCACAAAAATACAAGACCAGCGTCACGGGCTAAAGCAGTTGGTTAATGTGAGACAACAAGCTTAGAATCTGACTGCCCCAGTCTGTAGCACATGGGTTGGGAAACTTAGCAAGATGGGTGGGGTTGTCTTATGTGCCTGGCTCAGAGAGAGATCCTTACATCTGAATTTATTGTTTTACTGTGAGAATCTAGAAGAGGCTATTCAAGACAGTGGACAGGTTGGAGGGCCAACCGTCAGTGATAACCAGATTTGTGGGACTTGTTAAGAGCCTTCTCCAGCATGGGGTCTCAGAGATATCAAGAGTGCAGCTTTAGCTACTATGGCCGGTGCCCTGCTAGCTGGGAATTATGGAAGTTGTGGTCCTAACACATGGAAGAGTGCTAGGTTGAGGTTCAGGCTGGCTGAAGTTAGAGCATCAGTGTGAACTGTTTATCTTAAATCTGAGGAATCACCTACCGTCTAAAGTTATTTTGCTAAATGTCCTATGACAGTCCAAAAAGGCAAGTCTTGACATGGTCCAGAGTCATAAATTATGAGTTGGGTGACTGTATAGCTTCAGTAAATAAGTAAATACAGGTAGGTCACGATTCCTGCGTGTTTGAATAATGCAGTATTCAATTTAGTGCGGATTGAAATTGATACCAGGTTGCATTTAATGCGACCCAAAATTCAGTTAATGCAAGGTTAACGTGTGTGCAATTGAGGCAAGCACGTGGGCAGTTGTGGTTGGGGTGTTAGGCGCTGCTCATCTTCATGTGTGCAAAATGGAGAAAAGGAAGATTCTTCCAGAGGAAAACACTATAAGTTTTAAAAAAAATGTTTTTATCAGTGTAAGCTTCTTTTTTTAAAATTTTGCTTTTTATCACTACTCTGTGACTTTGTTAACCAAAAATTTAAATTATAAGTATATCCTTTTTAGCTCTTACTGTAATCTTTCCTTAATGTACCTATAAAAATTGATGTTTAAACATTTCCATTGCCTATTTCCACCCAGCTGGGACCCATTACCCTAATTTCCATAGAAATATCTTCTAGAATAGTGCAAATTCGAATCATGCAACCGTTTTGTGGGATTCGTTAACTCACTCATTGAGACCTACCTGTACAGAAAGTGTGTGTTGCGCTCTAAAATAAAATCATCTCTTTTTCTATAGGAACTGTGCTATCTGTCTGCTCAAACTGCCCTGCCCAAGGCCACTGTATTGCTTTGAACATTAACCCTGGCAGGATTCAAACTCTCGGTGTTCAGAAAATTAGTACAGAATTTCTTTGAATTGCGGTGTTTCTGGAGACAGATTTCTCAGGTGCATCATTTAAAAAACCTCTCCCTTTTCTGTCCCCAGAGTGAAGAAGAAATACGAACATTAAAACAGCAAAAGAGTAAGTTTATTTATTTATTTAAATAAATCTATCATATTTATAAGGCCACCCATCTCACACAAAGTTAAAGCGCTGATTCTTAGAATTGGATGGCACACCAGTGCAATGAAGCTGTGTTAGCCTTCCTCTGGAGTTGATTTCACATCAGCCCCACGAGGTCGACCAGACCAGGAGATCAGCTCCACAGGAAGACTAGAGCTTCCTTCATTGAGATGGACTCCAAGAACAGGATCTTGCAGGAGCGCTTGTGCTGGGCCTCCATCTTCTCCTCATGCTCCGTTGAACCAGGGAGGGGTCTGCCTGAGCCGCTTCCAAATGGGATCTCACTTCTCAGGACTTAAGTAAGAGCCCCTTTGGCTTAGGTGACCATTTTAGCACATCTCCATCAAGGTCATCTTCCTTACTCTCTACAGTACCAGATGAAGCAGGCTTTAGTGAGGGCATCCTGTTTTCCCTTGTCTTTCCCACTCATGTCTTTGCTCCTCCCAACTCTTAGAAAGTTAAAATAATTCCTTCCTTCCTTCCTTCCTTCCTTCCTTCCTTCCTTCCTTCCTTCCTTCCTTCCTTCTCTCTCCTTCCTTCTCTCTCCTTCCCTTCCTCCCTCCCTCACCTC